CTGTGTTATGGGGTGTGTAACTGTGTTATGGGGTGTGCAACCCTGTTATGGGGTGTGTAACTGTGTTGTGGGGTGTGTAACTGTGTTATGGGGTGTTCAACCCTGTTATGGGGTGTGCAACCGAGTTATGGGATGTACAGTTGTGTTATGGGGTTTGCAACCCTGTTAGGGGGTGTGCAACCCTGTTATGGGTGATAGAGAAGCTGGGTGGGGTGGGGAACACCCTTCATAGGGTGCTGAACTTCCTTTATGGGACGCTGGACCCCCTTCAGGGAGTGGGGAACCAACTTCATGGGGTGTGGAACCACCTTTATGGCACGTTGGATGAACACCCTTTGTGCAGTGCTGGACCCCCTTCTTGGGTTGGGAAACCACCTTTATGGGGTGGGGAACCCCTTATGGGGTGGGGAACCCCTTTATGGGGTGGGGAACCCCTTTATGGGATGGGGAACCCCTTTATGGGGTGTTGCTCTCCCTCACAGGCTCCCATGTGGGGCTGAACTCCCTGGCAGGGGGTTGAAACCCCTTTTTTTGGCTGTTGAAACCCCTGCACAGGGTGTTAACCCCCTTTTTTTGGGGTGCTGATCCCTTTTTTTGGGGTGCTGATCCCCTTTTTTTGGTGCTGACCCCTTCCCGTGGTGCTGACCCCCGTTTTTGGGGCGCTGCCCCCGTTTCCCCCCAGGTACACGGACATGGAGAGTGAGGATTATCACTTCTACCAGGGCCTCGTTTACCTGCTGGAGAACGACGTGTCCACCCTGGGCTACGACCTCACCTTCAGCACCGAGGTGGGGACCCCCCGGGACCCCCCCGGGACCCCCGAGGCACAGAGACCCCCAAAGTGACATCAGGGACCCCCCAAAAGTGACATCGGGGACCCCCAGCTCCCCTGGGCTGTTCCTGGGGTGTCCCCTCTGTCCCAGGTGCCACCCAGGGGTGTCCCCCCAGGTTTGGGGGTGCCCCTTTGTCCCGGGAGGGTCCCCCCTGCTCCACAGGTGTCCCCTTTTTCCTGCTCTTGGGGGTGTCCCCTCACTCTGCACACCCTGGGCGTGACCCCCCCTCATCCTGGTGACCTGTCCCACACCCCTGTGCCCCCCCCGTGCCCCCCAGGGCAGGAATTGGGGGTGTTTGAGGTTCAGGGATGTCCCCAGGGCAGGAATTTGGGGTGTGTGAGGTTCAGGGGTGTCCCCCCCGTGCCCCCCCCAGGTGCAGGAATTCGGGGTGTGTGAGGTGCGGGACCTGAAGCCCAACGGGGCCAACGTGCTGGTGACGGAGGAGAACAAGAAGGAATATGTGCACCTCGTGTGCCAGATGCGCATGACCGGTGAGGGGGGGGTCTGGGGGGGGCCCTGGGGGGCTCTGGGGGCACAGGAGGGTCCTGGGGGGGCTCCTGACAGAGGAGATGCCCGTGACCAGCGAGGGGGGGTCTCCTGTTTGCTGAACTGTCACTCTTAAAATTATTCATTAATATTGTATTAATATAATTATTTTTAATGTTAAAAGTTATCAAAATAGCATTGGTAGTTGTTTTTAAATTGCTGATGTAATTACAGAGGGATGAAGAGAAAGGCATAACTTGTAGCTTTCTTTGCTAAAAACTATAAAGTGAAAATGTCAATGTTATTGTTATAATGTCAATTATGATATATAATAAATCTTAGTAGTATTAATAATAAAATATACTGCAAAGTATATAATGTATGTAATATATATTAATTAGTATATATAATTAAATACATTAATACATTAGTAGATATAATTAATATCTTTTACATTTATTAATGTGTTTATTCTATGATGTATTACAATAATATATAATATGTATACTATAGCTATAACATGATAATGTTAATATACATTAAGATAATTTTATTATAATGTTGTTATTGTTTATATATTTATAATATATACTTATATTTATCATATATACTAATATTTATAATATATACTAATATATTTATAGTATATATTAATAATATATATTATATATATTATACATATTATACATATTATATATTATATATAATATATTTATAGTATATATTAATATATACTTATAATATATACTAATATCTATTTATAATGTATACTAGTATCCATTTATACTCTATACTAATACAATTAATTATTAGTCATTATGTTTAAAGCTTTGATGACTCCGAATCGTGGGGGATCCCCAGGTACCCCCTGACCCAAGTGCCATCAACATTCCCGTGGTCTGGGGGGTCCTTCCCCATTCCTGCCCCCCCTGACCCCCCTCCCGCTCCAGGGGCCATCCGGAAGCAGCTGGCAGCGTTCCTGGAGGGCTTCTACGAGATCATCCCCAAGCGCCTCATCTCCATCTTCACGGAGCAGGAGCTGGAGCTGCTCATCTCGGGGCTGCCCACCATCGACATCGACGACCTCAAGGCCAACACCGAGTACCACAAGTACCAGGGCAACTCCATCCAGGTGGGACTGGCCCCCAAACCGCTCCGGGGGGGCTCTGATGGTCCCCACAGGTACCAGGGCAGCCCGATCCAGGTGGGACTGGCTCCCCACACCTCCTTCCCGGGGTTATTTTGGGGTGGTTTCAGGGGTCTCGTGGTACAGGAGGTGCCAGGGCAGCCCTGTCTGGGCGGGTTTGTCCCCCCTGGGTGGTTCTGGGGGTGACCCCGGGGGTCTGACCGTGCCCCCCCCCAGATCCAGTGGTTCTGGCGGGCCCTGCGCTCCTTCGACCAGGCCGACCGCGCCAAGTTCCTGCAGTTCGTGACGGGCACGTCCAAGGTGCCCCTGCAGGGATTCGCTGCCCTCGAGGGCATGAACGGCATCCAGAAGTTCCAGATCCACCGGGACGACCGGTCCACGGACAGACTGCCCTCGGCCCACACGTGGTGAGGGGATGGGGGGGACAGAGGGGGACACACGGGGGGTCAGAGGGACACTGACCACCTGCCCTCGGCCCACACGTGGGGAGGGGATGGGGGGACGTGGGGAGGTGGGAGGGGACAGCAGGAGGTGGCACCAGGAGGAGATGGGGGACACAGGTGAGGGGACACAGGTGAGGGGACACAGGGCCAGGTCACTGGGGTGGCGACACAGGGACACCAGGACAGGCAGGGGAGGTGGCACTGGGGGACAGGGACACCAGGCTGGGTCACTGGGTGGGATGGGGACACAGGGACACACAGAGAGGTGACACCAGGGTGGCACAGACACTGCCCTGGGGGCACAGTCACCCTGGGGGGGAGGGGGTGAGACAATGTCAGGGGCCCCGTGTGACCCCCCTGCGTGTCCCCTGCCCCCCGTGTGACCCCCATATGTGTCCCCCGTGTGACCCCCATACGTGTCCCTTGTCCCCCGTGTGACCCCCGTGTCCCCCTCAGCTTCAACCAGCTGGACCTGCCGGCCTACGAGAGCTACGAGAAGCTGCGGCACATGCTGCTCTTGGCCATCCAGGAGTGCTCCGAGGGCTTTGGGCTGGCCTAGGGGGGCTTAGGCCTGGCCTAGGGGGGCTTAGGCCTGGCCTGGGGGGGTCCCAACCCACCCCTGGGGGATTTGGGCTGGACTGGGGGAGGTCTGAACCCTCTGGGGGGCTTTGGGCTGCCCTAGTTGGGCTCCAGCCTGGCCTAGGAAGGTTCAAGCCTGGCCTAGGAGGGCTCCAGCCTGGCCTGGGGGGACCCTTGACCCTCCCTGGTTTCTCCAGCCTGGCCTAAGGGGGATGTGACCCCCCCGGGGTCTCCAGCCTGGCCATGGGGGGCCCCCGACCCCCCCGGGGGCTCTATAAATATATATATATTTTTTGGTTCCGTTGGCTTTTTTTGGTTTGTTTTGTTTTTTTCGGGGTTATTTTTCCCCCCCTCCCCGGTCCCGGTTTTTGGGGGGGTTTTTGCTCTGTTTGGGGGGGGTTGGGGGGTCCCCCCCTCTCCTCCTCCCCCCCCACTTCACCCCCCCAGTCCCCCCGTGCTGGGGGTTGGGGGAGGGGATGGTGAAAAGGGGGGGAAACCGCCCCGAATTATAAATAAGAGGTTCGGCCCCTCCCCCACCCCAAAACTGAGAGAAAAAGTTAAAAAAAAGGAATAAAAAAGTGCACTCTTGGTAAGGGCCGCTCTGCTCGTTCTTGGGGGGGCGGGGGCGGGAGGGCGCCGCGTTGGGTGTGGCGAGGGCGGGGCTGCCGCGTTGGGCGTGGCAATACCGGGGTGTCTCGGGCCGCTGCCGCCATGTTGG